ATTAGAGTTAGGGTTAGGGTGAGAACTAGGATTTAGCAGGGCCGATTATTGCAGATCATTTAATGCTGGCCTAATGGTTTTAATCTGACGCCGAGTTCTAATCTGACGCACAACATATATAACTTTCCTTTAATCTTTCAGTAAAAAAATTTTGTCTAACTTAAAAATTTAAATTTATTTCAACGGATTTGAAGTTTTGACCAGATACAAAAAATCTGGTGGATTTTTATAATATAGTCAGATATCAATTGGATCCAAGAATTAGTTCAGTTGATAAAATTACTTGCCCGTAATAAAAGTAATCTAAACTTTTCTCTGACAAAATAATTCAAATCTTTCTCTATATTAAATAAATTTGTACTCATGATAACATTATGCTGCTAAATTTTTACTCTTTGGAGTAAGTAAATCCATATTTTTATTGTTGAAGAGAACATGCCGATAATTCATTTATTGACTATCCCTAGGGTGAGAATAGATCAGATTAGTACATACCAATTTCTAATCTAAATATATTACTAACTTCAGTTACTTAATTTGAAGTAATTAATTCGACATATAACATATAAATTACTTAATCAATTTTTGCATTATCAAATGATAATGTTGTTAATAGTAAAACCAATTAGTAATAAAATTTGTAATATATAAATTAAAATAAAAATATTACAAAATGTTAGTACAAAATATTATGTAAAACAAATCTTGTAAAATATGTTTGGATTATTAACATACCACCTATTGACCTTTTAATTATTTTAATTTTGCGAGGGTAAAATATTAAGTTACTAGATTTAATTATAGTTGCAGAGAGTGAAAGAATCTTATATGGATATGGAAATACCAGTTTCATTTAAATATTAACGTTAAAGAATTAGTACAAAATTTAAATACTGACCCTAGTCTTAAGAACTAATTAAAGAGATTAAAGGAAAGTTGTGACAAATTATTATATTGATTGTATAATACAGGATTTTATCCAGGATTTACTAATTAGAATTATGAGAGATTTTATGCTTTGCGCGTTACACCTAATCTTGAAATTTGATTGTCGATTTAGCCATTGTTAATAGAGAAAATTAGGACGACCACAAGGTATGTCTTTTTCTATTAAATGTTCTAAAAATTAAAATTCCAATAATAAATATGAAAATTATAACTATAATACTTATTATAACGTAAAGTTTAATATTTTTTGGGCCTGGTTGTAATGTTGTTGCAGACGTTGTATCAGAAAAGCAATGTAATGCTCCACACTGGCCACATGATATCCTGTAACCATATTCGCAGGTTTCACCAGAAGGATTACATTCATAAGCATGACACGGATCACATCCTATTTGTTTTTTTAAAAAAAATAAATAAATTTCAGAAAAAAATATATAACTTATATAATAAAAAAGAAAATTTTTATTCTTTACATGCCAATTTGACCACCACAGTATTGTCCTTGTGTAAGCCCTTTAGGAGGTTTAGGACATTGACATGAAGTATTATAGTTGC